CCCCCCCAGGCCCAGCTATTTCTAGGAAGAAGACTTAGGGTAGGGAAGGGTTCATGGAAGGCATCTCTATAACCTGCAACTCCAGAAGAACCGTGCTGGCTGCAGGGCTGGGAAGCTGAGCCTTACATCACCCGGAATTGGAGTTGAAGGATGCCCAGGATCCTGCTTAACTTGGGTCTGCAACAGGGTCGCTTGGTGATGGAAGAACATAAGGTGGGCTCTAACACCCAGAAACTCTAATGAACCTGAAAACAAGACGGCCCTGCCGCCACCTTACACCTGTCTGTATGCTTGCATGAGTTCGCTCACCTTTGAGAACAAGAACTCCTTCGCTCTGCTCACCTCTTAGGCTCGGTGGTACTACCTGAGGCTGATCTTGAAACCACCTGGAAAAGGCAGCAGACTAAAAGAAATTCAAGTGCTTGCAACCTTGACTCAGTCTACTTGGTGTGCTTACACAGGCACAGGAATGTGGTCCTTTCATCCCAACCTGCAGTGTCTCTCCGCCCACACTTTCACACATACTTTGTTGTAGGAGGCCACTTGCTCATTCCTGCGGCTCAGACCCAAAATAACCACACAGAACCTGTATTAATTAAATCACTGCTTGGCCTGTTAGCTCTAGCTTCTTATTGGCTAGCTCTTATATCTTAATTTAACCCATTTCTATTAATCTGTGTATCCCCACGTGGCTGTGGCTTACTGGCTAAAGTTCCCAGCATCTGTCTCAGGTGGTGGATCCATGACGTCTCTATGACTCTGCCCTTCTTTCAGTATTTAGCCTAGCTTTCCCTGCATACCTAAGTTCAGCCTTACTATAGGTCCAAAGCAGTTTCCTTATTAATTTATGGTAATCACAGCTCACATAGAGGACTCCCACATCACAATACTTGGAATAATCTTTCAAATTTTCAACCTTTTGGGGTGCCCATCTTTCTTATTTCTTTAAACTGTAAGTGGTAGCCAGTGCCTTGGCCCCACGTTGGGCGCCACTCTGTTTTAATGAGGCGCGATGGGCCGCATCCCACCACCTGAATCCCAGCAGCCCGACTAGCTTAGCCCCCGAAATAATTACACAGAAACTGTATTCATTTAAACATTGCGTGGCCCATTATATCTAGCCTCTTCTTGGCTAACTCTCACATCTTGCTTTAACCCATATCTAGTAACCTGTGTATCACCACAGGGTCATGGCTTACCGGGGAGATTCTAACCTATGTCCGTCTTGCGTTGGAGAATCATGGCTCTACCACACTGCCTTCTTTTTCCCAGCATCCAGTTCTGTCTTCCCCGCCTATCTAAGTTCTGCCCTATCTAAAAGCCAAGGCAGTTTTCTTTATTCAACCAATGAACGCAATACATAGAAGACCCTCCTATACCAGTGCCTGTCATGAATACTGGAACCAAATTTAGTTTGGTTCCTTGGTTTTTAAGATGGGTCTCACTAAGTAGCCCAGGCTGGCTTTGAACTCTCCATCCTCCTGCCTCTGCCTTGCAAGTGCTGATATTTTAGAAATGTGATTCTGAGCCCAGTCCAATCAAGGTGATGTTTTGTTTATTCTATAACAAATAAAGCCTGCCTGAAGATCAGAGAACAAAGCTAAGTCACTAATTAGCCATAGAGGCCAGGCCATAGTGGCACACAACTTTAATCCCAGGTTGACTCAGGAGACAGAGACAGACAAATCTCCATGGGTTCAAGGTCACCCCGGTTACTTGAGATTGAATCTGTCTAAAAGAGAAACAGAGCTCACACAAAGGTGATCCCAGAACTTTGGGATCATGTGCCTTTAATCCCCGCACTAGTGAGGTGGAGACAGGAGTGGTGTGGCTGGGTGGAGAGAGGAATACAAGGAAGGAAGAGAGAGCAGCTCAGAGCAGTCTGAGGATTGAGGCATTCTGAGGATGCGTAGGGACAGGATCACCCCTTTGGTCTGAGCATTGGTAGAGGTAAGAACTCTAGTGGCTAGACACCCTGCTTCTCTTATCCTTCAGCTTTCATCCCCTGATAGATGATTACAAGTTTTCTTATTAAGACCAATTAGAATTCAGGTTACCAAGGTCAGTGCACAAGGTTGGCCCCATGCTTGTGTCTGAGCTTGAGGAATGACTATTTGAAGACTATTCACTAACGGGAAGACAGAGTGAGTCTTCAGTTTCTATAACTCAGCCCTCTCCCCCATTAGCTCACAATCCTGCAGTTTTTTTAGAATGCCCCAGAGAATGGCTACAGATCCCTGCACTGAAATCGTGTCACTTTGATGTTTCTGGATTCCATCCTTTCATTGTCCAGCTGTGACAAGAGACAAGATGCGCTTTTGACCAGCAGAACATAAAGCATAGACTTGAGATTTGGGAGATTTAGCTCCTTTTTCTTATACTTCCTTCATGCTGTACAAGGTGCCTGTTTACCCTCCAGATGATACCTACCTGTCAGAACTGTTGAGAAATGTTGTGTATGATGGAGGAAAACTTATACACCCAAAACAAAACCCCAAGAGATTTTAGAAAAGTGATTTTTTTACAAGAACAAAAAGAATATTGGGGGCTGGAGAGATGGCTCAGTGGTTAAGAGCACTGGCTGCTCTTCCAGAGGTTCTGAGTTCAATTCCCAGCAACCACATGGTGGCTCACAACCATCTGTAATGAGATCTGGCACCCTCTTCTAGTGTGCAGGCATACACGCAGACAGATACTGTATACATAATAAATAAATAAATATTTTTAAAAAAAGAATATTGGAATGATAATTTTCAAACACATGCATTCAATCACCCAGATGTTTGAGGACAAAGTAAGAGAATGGGGAGATGAGGAAGAGGAGCAAGGTTTTCTCTCTTGGTAGTGATGGGGTAAAGTCTCTTTGTGAAGCTAGGGCTGACCTGGAACCATCTTGTCTTTCTCTCCTAAGTACGGGGAGTACTGGAATTACAGGTGCATGCCGCCATATACAGTTGGGAAATGGGTTTCTGACCACCAACCCCTTGCTTCATTCAGGAAAAGAAGAGACTTCAAACAAATCCCAGGCAACTGGCAGTGGGCATTCTGATGGATGGACTCTTCTATCTTCTGCATATATATTCCAAAGCACTCTGTCATTAGTAAGGTCTGAAAATCAGGAGTAAGGTCCACACTTCAAAAAATAGGCATAAGGTATTTAAATTTTGTTGTAAATTGATAAATTTTTCAGCTATTACTTTATAATAATAAAACATTATTATTTTCTTGTGGGCTGTTTTCAAATGAAAACACTGTCCAAGTTTAAATGAAAAACAAACAAAAACAAAGCCTTTCCTCCAAGGTTCAGGTGCCCCTTGACTTTCTCTTTTTGACTTAAGTGAGGCATGTCCTGACAAACTCATTATAAATTAGAAATACTGTTAATTTGAAGTGCATTTAGTGCACCTAACCCACCGAACAACAGCAGCATAGCTTAGCCTCACCTATCTTGAACCAGCTCAGAACACTTGAATTAGCCTCTTGTTTGGCAAAGTCATCTAATGTAAAGCATAGCTAGTGACAGTGGTGAATACCTCAGGAAATTGATTGCATACTTGTCAAAAAATGTTGGCAACTGTAGTAGAGGCATCAGTCATTTATTTTGGTAATGCCCTCGCTGACTGGGAGTTACAGTTTACAACTGCTTAACAATATAAAGCAGATCTAACTGAATGGCACTATGTTGAAAAAAAAGAATAAAATTCAAAAATTCAGGACTAGAGAGATGGCTCAGTGGTTAAAAGCATTGACTGCTAATTCCTGTGAGTTCAATACCCAGCACCCCCATGTTGGCTCACAACTGTCTCTGATTACGATTCTAGGGAATCTGATACCATTTTCTGACCTCCATGGATACCAGGCACACAGACATACATGCAGGTAAATACATATAAAATAACTTTTTAGTATAAAACTGGGGTGGTAGCAAGTGTTACAGCACTTGCCTTGCAAGTATGAGGCCCTGGGTTCCACTCCAATACCACCAAAGAGACGGACTGGGAGAAAGAAAAAGTACATTTTCTACTGAATATCTGCCACTTTCATACCAACATAAAGTCAAAAATTGAATACTGAACCATTCCAAGTCAAGGACTGTAGACAGAATTTTTCCATCTACCCGTTCCCAAAAAAATGAAACAGAGACTCAATATTAATTATAAATGCTTGGCCAATAGCTCAGACTTCTTACTAGCTAACTCCTACATTTAAATTAACCAAAATTTCTTTTTTTAATTGATTTTTATTGAGCTCTACATTTTTCTCTGCTCCCCTCTTTGCCTCTCTCCTCCCCTTCAACCCTCTCCCAAGGTCCCCATGCTCCCAATTTACTCAGGAGATCTTGTCTTTTTCTACTTCCCATGTAGATTAGATCCATGTATGTCTCTTGTAGAGTCCTCATTGCTGTCTAGGTTCTCTGGGATTGTTATTTGTAGGTTGGTTTTCTTTACTTTATGTCTAAAAACCACTTATGAGTGAGTATATATGATAACTGTCTCTCTGGGTCTGGGTTACCTCACTCAAAATGATGTTTTCTAGATCCATCCATTTGCCTGGAATTTTCAAGATATCATTATTTTTTCTGCTGTATGGTACT